AAATAGTAACCTAACCTATATGTTTTGATAGCTTAAGGACCATATAGAAAAATATTTAGTAAATAATTTTTAGGTCTTGTGTGTCACCTTGGGGAGTGTATTTATGTTGATAGTGAAGAAGGGTATAAGAGCATGAGGTTATGTATAGACTCCCACTGATTAGACTAATGATAGTGACAAGTAAGTATCTGTTTGATGAAAACTAGTGGGTGAGTGGTTGTAATCTCTTCTCTTTTAGCCTCAATTAAGCTCTATTCCATGGATTCTTCAAGCTTTAAAAAACTCAAAAATGGTCAAAAAGATCAGAGATGGATGCGCCACTCCCTTGTAGGAAGATAAGCAAAAATGAGGTTCTTGCCACAAGGAGGATTCCTTGATAAAAGAACTTTAGGAGAAGTTTCCCCTCTAGAGAGGACTAAGGACTTTGGAAATGGAGAGAAATATGAACTCTACTCATATAAATCTCAGTGTGCCAAAATTACAAGGGAGAACATGTATATATAAGAGTTGGTAGCTTGTAGTGCAAGCTAAGCTAACCTAGGTTAAGAATAACCTAGATTAGGTTAACTTGAACTCAACCTACTAACCCTAACCTAACTAAGAGACATTTGACCAACATAAGCTCACATGTCACTTTTTTAGATCTAGAATGGTCAATGAGAGCTTGCAATGTGGACAAGCAAGGAAAACGCGACTCATGTCACCATCTTAGATCTAAAAGAGCCATTAGGAGCTTGTTATGTGGCACATGTGTTTGGTGTGACTAGATAAGGCCATGTGGTTTATTAGCTTACTTGGATGGACAAGGAGGCATGTGGTCCCCACATGTCTTGGATGTCCAAAACACTTGCAAAAGGCAAGTGGATGTCCAAGCCATGGTAAAAATGGCCAAAGTTGGCTTATCCAAGCCCAACAACATCCATTTGACCTTTTTTAGTTGTACCCCTACTAAACTACTATTTACACCCACAAATTAAATATAGTACAAGGACAATATTATCTACTTTACATTACCAAAATACAAGGTCCAAAAAATAGGAAAAATGTGTACAAGGCTTAAAAATACAACAAGAAGAAATAGGCTAAGAAACAAGCCTATAACTTAATAAGAGCTTAGGTTCTAATTTCATCATGAGCTCATCCTTATTGTATCTCCTTGGCATAGCCCTTGTGATATGTCTAGTGGTAAGCACTATTTCATCACTCTTTTAATGTAAGATGAACTTGTTGATAAAAGTTTATGTTTAGTAATACTGGTGAGAAGTTTTAGTGATAGTAAAACTATATTTTGATCGGAAATAGTTGAACACAAGACAAGTGAAAAGGTTAGAAACTATTAAGAATTATAATTGGACCTTGTGTAGGTAAATCATTAATGTGTCTATAAAGATGACTAAAGAGTTGAACCTTTTAGGACAAGTTTAGAAACCTTAGTTGATTTATGAGTAATCCTCAATGAATTCTAAGTTTGATATATTGAGAATGACTATTAGATTTATAAATGAGATTAGTAAAAGCCAAAAACCAAGTCTATTTCTGTTGGTTCAAGTAGAGTATTTGAGTCAAAGTAAGGAGAGTGGTTTCGAGGTGGGATATAGATGAAGTTCTAAGATTCTAAAATGAATTGAGTACATCTAGTGTATTTTGAAGAATATGAGCTTAAAAGAAAGACATAAAAGTAATATAAGTCTTCATCTCAAAGTTGTAAAGATATACCAAGACCTTAAGGGGATGGTTGGAGTGGAAAGAGTTGTAGTTAAGTTACTCATGCATGTTCAATAAGTTAGAAGCCTAAGGAAGAATACCAAAATCTTTAAGAGAGTTGCAACCTTTAGGCATACTAAGTAGGTGTGAGATTACATTGGGTGCTCTATAAAATAGTTTTGCTACAAACCTTAGACTATATTTTTTTTTTTTGAGAACTTCACAAAACTTTAAGAACCACCTTAGATTCATTTAGCTTATAACCTTTGAACAAATAGCCAATATGATAAAACTATCTAATCCTTAGAGAATCCCCTTAAAGATTTTGCTTAAGATTAAAAGGTAGTTAGGATGATACTTTATAGAATCATTAGTGCAATAAGGTGTGATATACCTTTATGGTTGGTTAGAACCTAGTGGGAACCTTATTATCTAGGACTTGAAATGAATTAACAAACCACTTGTAACATTATGATTAACTAAGAGAGGATGATGAAGATCATGTATCCCTGAAAGTAAATACTTGAATTGAAGTTGGTTTGACATTAAGATCATGAAATATTACTCTTCATTTCTTTCATTCCCACCATATCTTAATATGAATTAACAAGTTTCTAATTTATAACTTTATCTTCTTTCTTTAATCCTTTATAGAGTCTTCTATGTTCCATACCTCAAAAAAATTGTACTCATGATACAATCCATATCCATGTGTCTGTAATGGTTAGCTAAGATAAAATCATACCTTGAAGACATTACCTTGAGAGTTAAGGACAGAAAAAGGGGCAAAACCTACTATTATGGCACGTTCTACTTGAGAGCTTAGGAACACTATGAAAGAGCATTATTAAAATGTCTTGATACAAACAAAATTCAAGGACGAATTTTTTTTTAGGGAGATAGAGTTGTAACATCCCATTTTTTTTAGAATAAATAATAAATAAATTAAAATAATTAGAATATTATAAGAGAAATATTTTGTTAAAAGAAGCAAAAAAGGAGAGATAAATTAGAAGATTTTGGGCTAACTTTAGTTCCAACCTGAGGACTAATTAAAAAGAAGAAAATGGAAAATATTAGTTTATTGCATAGTCTTCCGATGCCTAAAGCACTTGTGGGAGCAAATTTAAAGGATAACATCGTAGGAGGCACTAATTAGCAACCAAAGCTGCAGGAAACGCATTGTACCGCAGGATTGTCACTCTAATTAGGGGGAGAGTGATATTGCTGAATTCGTTGGGCATATATGAGAGAGATAAAGGTAGATGGACAATCCTTAAACCCCGTAGGTCGTTGAATTTGATTTATGTGACTGCTTATGAATGAATTGATGCTTTTTCTCTTATATTATATGAATTAGACTACTAATTGACATTGGCTTAAGTTGTTGTTATAAATTGTTGTATTTGTAGATTAGGGTATATTATGCATGACTTAAGAAGTTTGATGGATTGGATGAGTTGCATGATTAGATGGTATATTATTATTATTATTTGAGTATGGATAATCTAATTTTCCAATTGAATGATGAATTGAAATAAAGGATATGAATAGATATATTGGAGGCTAGGATTTATGTTGATTTGAGAGTTTTGGTGTAGTATGTTTAATTCTAAAAATATCGATATGAACATTAGTATTTAGGTGATTTCTCACTATGTGATTAACCAAATAGAGACGTAATTCATGTTATAGATATGTATGTGTCTACCTTTTGTACCTTATATATGTTGTGTGCGATGATATTCTCACTCCCTATATTATATGTTTGTGATTGGGTTGAACGCTATTTGTAGGACTAGTACAAGTACAAGAAGATGTATTTAATGAATGAGAAATATAAAGAGGAGTCTTACTCTAATTAATGTGACATTGACACAAATATTAGTTTTAATATTTTAATGAATTTTATTTAGACTATAGCTCTTTTTATTTAATTATTGGAATTTTTTAAAAAAGGATGGTTTGTGCCTTATTTTAATTTTATATATTTTTTACTATGTTATTTAATAAAGTTGTTGGAATAGATTGTGAACTTTTTTTTTTAGTGAATATTGATGCTTAAAAAAATTTATGCAAAGTTTTAAATTTATTTTTTTAATTATTTAAATTCTTTTATTTAATTATTTAGACTAAAAAGGTGTCACACTAAACAAAACAAAAAATAAAAACGTTAATAAATCACTTGACAAAAATGATAGTCTATATAATTACAATCATTAAATCAAAAACGATATTAACAAATATTAAAATTTTTAAATGGCTTAAATTATAAATTTTTTTTTGAAACTTTCAATTCATGAATTCTTAAATCACTTAAATTATTTCTAATTATGAAATATTACGATATTAGTTATCATAAAAAATATTACCGTATTAATTAACATTAATAAAATATTTTATAATATTATTTACTCTAAAATATTATTATAATATTTTTTATTTACCCTAAAAAGGATAACATTTTAGTAATGTTAATAATTAATAATTAAAAGGTTTTAGTAACTAATAATATTATTTATAAAACTATTATATTAAGTCACATGATACACATCTTTAGAATAAGAGAAATCGATGTAATATTTGTTCAACTTTTAAGAGTCTTACTGAAAATCTAAATTATGAAATAATATTAGGCTCAATCTTAAAAATATATATAGGGTGTGGGTGTAATTTACTCTAATGTTATTTATATAATTCAAAATCACTCTTAAAAATAAAAATAGTAATTTTAAATTTTAAAAAGGATAAAAAAAAATATTTTACATGACCAAAACTAAAATTTACTTATTTTACAAAGATCAAAAGTATTATATCATAACAAAAATACTATTTAAAATTAAAAAAATAAAAAACAAAGAATTTTTTTTACAAGATTAAAATTAAAACTCGTTCATTTTTCAAGAAAAAAATAATTTAAGATATGTTTTTAACAATATTTTCATTAATTCATATTCCAACATGCAATACATTAATTAATCATTTTTATTATTTACTTAATTATTATTACAATAAATAAGCGTACATTTATTCAGTTATCGTAGGTTGAATTATTAACTAGTCCTAAATTAAAATGTTTCAAATATGTTCCCAAGCTAATTTCTTTTAATTAGTTTTCCAGACTAAAAAAAATAGACTTTTGAAATTAGCTTTTGATAGTTTAAAATTGCCATAAAATAATAATTTACGATAATTTTTTTTTTTACAAATTCAATTAAAAAAATAAATAATCAAAAATCTCATTCAAAAAATCTGAAATAAAATTGAGTAGCTACACATTAATTTAACCATTACCTAGTCTTTCGACGTCGTTTTGCAACTTGGCTTTCTGAACTGGGAGTTTACCAGAGACGCTGCTCTTACTGTCCCAATCTCCGGCCATACCCACCGCCGCAGGCAATTCTCTCTCTTTCTTTCTCAATTCTCAAATTAAACTCATTTTTTTTTCCTGATTTTAAAATAATTCGCTTACAGATGCTATTGATTTATGAATCATGAACGTTTATTATTAAAATTTTAGATTCGATGGTGCTTGTATCAATTCAAATGCTTTTAATAATTTACAATGCTAATGTATGAGCATATGATGTTGGTAGTGGATTTTTGGTTTCTGTAATTCATGTTCTATTTACTAACTTCATCTTTTAAATTTGCATACTTGTATATGTCTACGTGTGTCTATTAGTTACTAATTGGACTGTAGAAAAATAGTTTGCATAATATATAAGACTTTAATTTTCATGCACCATGAGTGTGAATATTTTTGCATTTTCCACTAATTATAAATCATCCTAGGCATGATTTTTAAGACAATTATTATAAAAGTCAATAAACTTCTTATATACGGAGATCTGATTGAATGACAGTATAAATTTCTTTTACCGTGTGAATGTATTCTAATTAAATTCAATATATAATGGCTGATTGATTTTTTTTCTTTTGAATTTTCATTTAGTTTAAGGAATCGACCCAGTGAATGGAACTGAGCTGATTTTCTAAAATGGGGAAGGGAAAGAAGGTGAAAGACACTCCAAGTGACGATGATTGTTGGTGGTGGTTGGTTCAGAAAGGAACAACAGCTGTATTCATCACTGTTGGGTTGTTTGCATTGTTGGTCCGTGCAGCTGTGTCACTGCACCCTTACTCTGGTGCTGGCAACCCTCCAAAGTTTGGGGACTATGAGGCTCAGAGGCATTGGATGGAGATCACCATTAACCTTCCAGTTAGGGAATGGTATAGGAACAGCACCAGAAATGACTTGAGCTACTGGGGACTTGACTACCCACCTTTGACTGCGTATCAAAGTTTCATTCATGGGCTTTTTCTTAGATTCTTCCACCCTGACTCCGTTGCTCTTTTCACTTCCAGAGGTCATGAGTCCTATCTTGGGTGGGCATTTTACCCATTTTCCATTCTTAAGTTAACTGATGCTGTAAAATGGTATTTTGGTCGTTGGATTTTGGAAATGTACCTCACTTCCAATTTAGTCTCAATTTAAATCATGTTTGCAGTTCAGTGTTTGAATTACTTAAAGGACAAAATTTAGATGCAGTTTCTTAGTTTCTATTTTTCAATCAGAATTAGAGTTTTACTTTGGTAAAATGAAAGTTCGCATTAAAGGTTAGTATAAATTATCAATGTAAAATTCTAATTCTGATCGAAGAATAACACTAAAAGTAGATAAGAAATCACATCTAAGTTTTGTCTTTATTCAAACTCATTTATGTTAGTCTCTAGTAGAGATTGCAGAAGGAATAATGTAGAATGAGTTTGAATAATTTAAGGTCTGTCATTCTGTAATTTAATCAATGTGTGATTTAAAAATGGGGTGCATTTTTAAGGAGCAGAATGACAGTTTATCCATTTAGAATCCTATTAATGGATACAATTGGTTTACCTTCAATATAGTTGCTGAATAGTGAGTATTTTGACTTTGCTATTATTATTAATATTTTAAACTGTGGCTTACGTTTGCAGAAAATTGCTCATGAGGTGGACAGTGTTATCATCTGATGCCCTGATATTCTTTCCAGCTGTCCTGTATTTTATTATTGTTCATTACAATCAATCTTCAAGGAGCCGGAAAAGTGAATTAGCATGGCACATTGCAATGCTTTTGCTACACCCCTGTTTGATCTTAATTGATCATGGTCATTTTCAGGTTTCATAAGAAAATTCTTATGGTGTTCAATGCCTTTGGCTCTTTACGCATTTTTCAGTCACAGGTTTGGTAGTGACTTACTTTTGAATGTTGCATTTTGTTGTATTTCAGTTCAACTGCATCAGCTTGGGCTTTACTGTAGGAGCTATTGCTGCTATCCTCTCTGGGAAAGATTTTGTGGCTTCTGTTCTTTATTGTCTAGCTCTAAATCATAAACAGGTTAGTCTCTTTCATCATTGCATAGGTCTATTTTTCATTTGTTTTATTACTTCTAGCTTTTTTTTTTTATTTTTTATTTTACACAGTCTATGTAGTTTTATATGATTATTCAAGCCTATCCAGCTATTATTCAAATTTTTTGCATGCGCTTGTATTGTTATAGTATGCCTTTTCCTCTTAAAGACATTGTTATCATTTTGTCTGCTTGGTGCTTCATTCATTACTTGTATTATTTGTGGTGTTCACTTTAAGTCAGGATGTCAATTGGTTGGATCCTACAGATTATTTTTCCTTTTCTTGGTCGATTCTTATAATTTATTAATTAATTTTCATGTCCCAAATTGTATGCGGAATACCTGATATACTTATTAGCCTATATGCCAGTTTGAATCAAATAAAATTTCTAAATATTTTACAAGGCCAATTTAATGACTTAGTGACTTTGCTGTTGTCTTGTGTGGGTTATATTGAATAAATGACAATAATTTTTGGGTTGTGTAGTTGAATATGATCTTTAGTTGACAGAAACAAATAGTTGCCTGGGAAATAACAAATGGAGGTAATGGATTAGGTAGTCGTGCCAATTGATGAGCTAAGGCATAATGAACTATATTTGGATACATAATTACATACACTGTTTTTTGGCATTACTTTCCTTCAGGGAATGGTAACTATTTAATGAATGCTTTTCCAGATGAGTGCATATTTTGCACCTGCTTTTTTCAGCTATCTCCTGGGCAAATGCCTGAGGCGTAAACATCCAATCCTTGAGGTGTTGAAACTGGGGTTGGTGGTTTTAGGAACCTTTGCAGTTGTATGGTGGCCTTATCTGTATTCAACGCATTCCATTTTAGAGGTAACAATGTTGTAATTGCCCACTACAAAGTGTATTCTTATTCTTAACTTTTCATTTGTTTTATATTATTCTTACATGGAAGCTGTTAATATTACTTTTACTGTTGTGCTTCCCTTGAACAATGATTTTAGAAATTGTACTTTTCTTGATCTTCGTTAGATCGTGGACAAATTGAAGTTTTTCATAGTTTTCCCTTTGCTTATGTTATTGATTCCACCTGTGTGAAATCAGGCTTGTGCTATGTGTTAGGCCTCTTATAAGAATATTATAAGAGGAGAGCCAAGACTTAAGTTTTATAATAGGACTGAATTGTTTTAGCAGTTATTGTTGTTTTAATTAGGCACTGGGTGCTATTAGTGGGGGCAAGCGTAACTGCCTCTAGGCAGTTATTAGCAGAATAAAAATAGCAGAAGAAGCAGGACAAAGGTTAGGCAGTTTTGGAGTAGTTTCGGGAAGGGAAAGACTAAGCTCTCGAACATCTTGTGAGGGAACCTTTGTACTCAAATCAGTTTACTAAATTTCCTATGTAATGTGTATTCTGTACCAGTTAAATTGAATAAAATTCAGTCCTTATTCTCATACTAGTTGGTGTCTATCAACTGTGAAACTGGATATGTATGCAACCTCCATTTATACAATGGAGGTGGGTGACAGAAGAAAGCTGGATTGTGAAGGGTTGTGTCCTAAATTGAAGTTGGAGATACAAAGTCTAAATGTTCAACAAGATTTATGTGTCTTTGATCTTGGAGGAGTGGATGTGGTATTGGGAATGGAATGGCTTGCTAGTCTAGGAGAAATAAGAGCAAATTTTCGTGAATTAACTCTTAGAATTCCGATTGCGGACGAATATCACACATTGAAGGGAGACTCCAATTTAACGAGAGCTTTAGCTTCGTTAAAATCTATTGTAAAGGCTCTACGTGATCAAGGTCGTGGATTCCTAGTAACATACTGTCAGATGCAAGCTAAAAGTAGAGAACCAGCAACTTGTCCCGCTTGGACAGAATTGATTTCGGAAGATTACGATTCAGTCTTTCAAGAGCCATAAGGATTACCACCTCCCAGAAGGCATGACCATGGAATTTGATTGAAGGAAGGGTCTAATATCCCCAACCTCCGACCGTACAGGTACCCACACTATCAAAAGAATAAAATTGAAAGGTTGAAAGGTTGATAGATGATATGCTTAAATCTGGTATAATTAGACCTAGTGTTAGTCTTTATTCGAGTCCTATAATCTTGGTGAAAAAAAAAGATGGTCAATGGCGTTTTTGTGTAGATTACCGGGCTCTTAACAAGATTACTATACCAGATAAGTTCCCTATCCCTATTATCGATGAATTGCTTGATGAACTAGGAGGAGCCGTGATTTTTTCCAAGTTGGATTTACGATCCAGTTACCATAAGATTAGGATGAGAGAAGAGGACGTTCATAAAACAACTTTTCGGACTCATGAAGGGCATTATGAGTTTGTTGTCATGCCTTTCGTGCTCACCAATGCACCTTCCACCTTCCACCTTTCAATCTCTTATGAATGAGGTGCTAAAGCCGTATTTGAGGAAATTTGTGCTTGTTTTCTTTGATGATATTCTAGTTTACAGTAAGGGTGAGGATGAACATCAGAGGCATGTACGGGCAGTTTTGGCATTATTGAGGGAGAACCAATTGTTTGCTAATAAGAAAAAATGTACTTTTAGCCAAACTCAATTGGAATACTTGGGTCATATCATTTCAGCAAAGGGGGTGGCAGCAGATCCACGAAAAATTGATGCTATGTTAGATTGGCCAATACTTAAGGATATTAAAGCTTTGAGGGGATTTTTGGGATTGACATGTTGCTATAGAAGGTTTGTTAGAGACTATGGTAAGATAGCTAGACCTTTGACTCAACTATTGAAGAAGGATAAATTTCAATGGAATGCTGAAGCACAAGCTTCCTTGAACAAATTAAAACACCTGGTGGCCAAATTGCCTATATTGACCATCCCCTATTTCTCCAAAACATTTATTATCGAAATTGATGCATCAAACAAAGGGCTAGGGGCGGTTCTAGTGCAGGAGGTTAGGCCTGTGGCTTTCCTCAGCCAGACTCTATCTGATAGGGCCCAATCTAAGTCCGTATATGAGAGAGAATTAATGGCAATTGTGATGGCTGTACAAAAATGGAGGCACTACTTGTTGGGAAGGCACTTTATAATTCTGACTGATCAGAAGAGCCTTAAATTTATGACTGAACAACGACTAATGAGCAAGGAATACTTCAGGTGGACCTCAAAACTTATGGGTTTGGATTTTGAGATACGTTATAGACCAAGAAAGGAGAACGCAGTGGCTGATGCTCTTTCTAGAAAAATGACATTTTCTGCTTTGTCCTCAGTTCACTTTGAGCAAATAGAAGATTGGGAATCTGAAATTCATCAAGATCCTAAGCTTCAAGGGATAATTCATGATTTGATAAAAGATTCTAATTCCCATCTGGGCTATAAATTTCAGAATTAGAAGTTGTTTTATAAAGGTTGGTTAGTCCTTTCAAAAGGCTCTTCTTGAATACCCTTATTGTTACAAGAATTTCACAACTCTGCTATAGGGGGACATTCGGGTTTCTTTAGAACCTATAAAAGAATCTCTGAAGTTGTGGATTGGGAAGGCATGAGGGAAGACATTTAGCATCAGGTAGCTACGTGTGAGACGTGCCAAAGGAATAAATATCAAGCTCTATCTCTGGCAGGACTTCTTCAACCACTGCCAATACCAAATCAAGTGTGGGGCTGATATATCAATGGACTTCATTGAAGGGCTTCCCAAGGCTCAAGGAAAAAATGTCATCTTAGTAGTGCTTGATAGATTGACTAAATACGCTCATTTCCTTGCACTTAGTCATCCTTTTACTGCAAAAGAGGTTGCCAAAGTTTTTATCACAGAGGTAGTTAAATTGCAAAAGAGGTTGCCAAAGTTTTTATTGTATCAGATCGTGACAAAATATTCCTAAGTCACTTCTGGTCAGAATTGTTCAAATTGGCCGACACTCGACTCAAGTTTAGCACTGCATACCATCCCCAAACAGATGGCCAAACTGAGGTGGTCAACCGGTGCTTAGAGACTTATCTGAGGTGCCTCACCGGAAATAAGCCTAAGCAGTGGCCTAAGTGGTTGAGTTGGGCTGAGTTCTGGTTTAACACCAACTACAACAGCTCTGTAAAATTGACTCCTTTCAAAGCATTGTATGGCTGCGAATCCACCCCATCTTCTGAAAGGAACCACTATTCCATCAACTGTGGAAGAGGTGAACATGATGACTTATGACCGAGATCAAATGTTACATGATCTCAAGGAAAATTTGGTCACAACCTAGAATCAAATGAAGAAGTATGCTGACCAATCTCGACGCCCACTATCCTTGGCTATTGGTGATTGGGTATATCTCAAGCTCAAGCCGTATAGGCTACGGTCATTGGCTCGAAAGAGAAATGAGAAGCTGAGTCTATGTTTTTATGGTCCTTATCAGATCACAAAACAAATTGGAGAAGTTTCTTTTCAGTTAGCCCTTCCACCAGAGAGTAAAATCCACCTTGTGTTCCATATTTCTTTACTCAAGAAGGCCTTCTCTCCCTCAGAAAATCCTCAACCTTTATCACCTATGTTGTCAGAAGAGTTGGAATTGCAGGTAACCCCAGCTGCTGTGAAAGCAGTGCGTAACACTGCTCACGGGACTGCCGAAGTGCTTATTCAGTGGACTGACCTGCCAGAATTTGAAGCCACTTCAGAACCAGTGGAAACCATCATGAAGCAATTTCCTTCTTTTCACCTTGAGGACAAGGTGACTCTTTTGGGGGGGAGTATTGTTAGGCCTCTTATAAGTAAATATTATAAGAGGAGAGCCAAAACTTAGGTTTTATAATAGGACTGAATTGTTTTAGCAGTTATTAATTATTTTAGTAGTTATTGTTGTTTAATTAGGCACTGGGTGCTATTAGTGGGGGCAAGCGTAACTGCCTCTAGGCAGTTATTAGCAGAATAAAAATAGCAGAAGAAGTAGGACAAAGGTTAGACAGTTTTTGAGTGGTTTCGGGAAGGGAGAGACCAAGCTCTCGAACATCTTGCGAGGGAACCTTTGTACTCAAATCAGTTTACTAAATTTCCTATGTAATTTGTATCATGTACCAGTTAAATTGAATAAAATTCAGTCCTTATTCTCATACCAGTTGGTGTCTATCACTATGCTAAATTCCCCGTGATTGGGTTTTATCTTGAAGGCTACCGTAACTTGATTTTGTAATTGTAGTGACAGAAGATTTTTAATGATGATAGATAATTGAATATTTGTGCCGCAAGTGGCAAATATGACACAATCTAGTAGATTGTCTGATCATGTTCTCCAATTTCCAATCTATCTCGTAGGACCATATTATCTTCACTTTAAATGTGTATATTCCTGATTATGCCACATGGTTGTGGCATGTGTACCTTATGGTTGTGATATCAATGGATTATCCTCAATAATTATATAGTTTTCTGATTTGTATTCGAAATCTTTAGATATTTATTATTTAGTGATAGTATTTTCTCTTGATTCTGTCTGCTGAGTAGTCATTAATATACTAATTAATAATCATCCTGGTTCAGTTAAAAATGCACTCCAAGACTCCAAGTTGTATGTGTACAAAAGTAGTCAAAAAGTTGGACATAAGTTATTGAACAAGTAACATGAGCCTTGTATATCTCTATAAGAAGGGATGTTTCTATGCATTTTGAAGCATGAATGAAGTATGTATATGTCATTAGGTGAGTCTTTCAAACATAGAATCAGATTTATGAAATTTATAGATTAAAATCTCAACACTCAACAGTTGATCCTCAAATGCATAGCTCATATCTGGCTATATCTCCAATGTTGTGTAAACTGTTAAGTATATTGGAGTTCAGAAACTACTTATCATCCTCTTTTGTGTTGAGTTTGCTAGACAGTTGACAATAAAGTTGTTTGATGAGCATTGGATTTGTCCTCCCACTGAGATTTTCTTCTCTTTTGATTATCATGGTTTTGGGAAAACTAGTTGCATGTGTTCTTATCTTTATGGGCTTGAGGTTTATGTGGTTGGAGAAAATTGTTTCAACCGTGTCTTTGCATGTAAAATTTTTTGGGGATAGGAATCGTATGATACCTTTTCTTACTTCCTTGTGGGTCAATGCCTCTGCTTTCTTAAGTGGTGTCTATATATATATATATATGAGGAGGGTTCAAACGACACCGGTGTAACTTTTACTAAGTGTTACACCGCTTAATAACTTGATATTAAATGTGAATTTTGAAAATCTAACCGTTAGATTGAAAGTTCATATCTCTTAGATCATATATACAAAATTTTATATTAATCCAAGATGATTTGATACTTTATTCTTATAAAACAAAATTGACGTAATATATTCATTTCAAAATACACTAAAATATGAACACTTTGATTACCTTCAAGTTGTTGTTCAAATTTAACAAAATTTAATATATATGATCTAAGAGATATGAACTTTTAATCTAACGGTTGGATTTTCAAAATTCAAAATTAATATAAAGTTATTGAGTGGTGTAACACTTAGTAAAAGTTACACCGGTGTCGTTTGAACCCTCCTCATATATATATATATATATAAGGGATCCACTTACTCCAAGAGTAAGTCTTAGTAAACTTACTTCACTTAATAGCTGATCTTTTATATTAAATTTCAACAATCCAACCATTGAATTAAAAGTTTTTAATTTATAGATTAAGTTTACAAATTTTCAAAAAATTTGAAAATCATATGATAGTCCGTCATATAAATTCAAATCAACGTATAAAATATTTTTATGATTATTCGTTAATTGGAATTAATGAAACAAAATATTAAATAGTTTTTAAATTTTTTAAAAATTTGTAGACTTGATCGATGCATTAAAAAATTTTAATTTAACGACTAAATCGTTGAAATTTGATGTTGAATGAGTTATTAAGTAGAATAAGTTTGTCAAAATTTCCTCTTGGAGTACCTGGATCCCTTTATATGTGTGTGTGTGTATATATATATATATATATATATATTTAATATCTCCTGTTGAATTTTTAATTTATTATTATTTCTTTTTCAGTGCTGTACTGATGTTAGGAGAATTCCTGATCCTCCTGCACTGTATTTCTCTTATAATTTTATATCAATGTATGTGGATGAAGTGGTAATTTAAATAATGTCCGTTTCCCTCATTGTATTCTTTATTTGCAATAGTAGGGAAATTTGCAATCACTTACTACATGATTAAAAATTATAATTTCTTTTCAACAAATTATTGACTTTAGTGGAAGAATCTCTATCATTCTTGAATTCTAGGCATGCTTACGAATTTGCTTGTGTTACCTTAAAACTTTTGTGTTTCTTTAATATTTTGTAAAAGCTCCACTAATTACAGGCTGCAGTTTAGAGAGTATCAATATTAAAAATTAATCTAGTCAAGTTTGATATTCATAGATGAATTTGGCTTAGTGAAAGTTTGCCAGTAAATTTAGGAATCTGAAGCCTTAAATGAGGTATTTGAAGTCGGTTGCTTGAGATGGAAGCAATAGGTCTAAATTTTGAGAGATATTAATGTAGATATGCCAGTAATATTAGTTTAAACCTAGCCGTTAATTGGTACATTAAATTAAACAATAGAAATGCCTTCTCAACTATTTCTGATCCTTATAAGGACCCCTGTTATTTGCATGTGGCACTTGTAACAGGTCCTCTCTCGTCTTGCTCCATTTGAAAGGGGATTATTTGAGGATTACGTGGCCAACTTTTGGTGCGCCTCTTCAGTTCTCATCAAGTGGAAGAGATTGTTTACAACAGAGTCGCTGAAGCTTATCAGCTTCACTGCAACAGTTATAACCTGTCTTCCTTCAATGGTTCAACAAATAAAGTCTCCTAGCAGTAGAGGTTTCCTATACGCGCTGCTGAATAGTTCTTTCTCGTTTTACTTGTTTTCTTTTCAAGGTTGGTAGTATTTCCTTTCTTTCAGTTTCAGAGTTGTGGGAATTTTGTTGAGAAAATCTTATGTGAAATTATCTGTTCCCCCTTTTGCCTTCACAGTGCATGAGAAATCTATTTTGCTGCCACTTCTTCCGGCAACCCTGCTGGCTATTGAAGAGCCATTTATGTTCAGGTGGTTCACGCAATTCGCCATGCTCTCCATGTTTCCACTGATATGTCGTGACAACTTGGTCGTTCCATATTTGGCTCTGCATGCTCTCTTTGTCCTGATTCCTAATGCACCTGGTCAACACAGAATTAAAGAGAGTAATTATTTTGTTAGTTATTTGGGATCAGCAACCATGCACCTTGTTTTATGTTGCTATTTTGTTCTTCACATAGTTTACTTGACCATGCATCCTCCTGAGAAGTACCCTTTCCTTTTTGAAGCAATAATTATGAATCTGTGCTTCTCTCAGTTTGTTCTCGTAACTCTTGGCTGCAATATAAAGCAGTGGCTGTTAAATAAACCTGTCAAATTAGAAGAAATAGAAAAGAAACTCATTTGACATTGGTTTCACTTTTTAGAGTTAGATATGGGTTGTACTTGTTACAGTTAGAGGTGGGGGTGGCATGTTTGATGCATTTTGGCAATGTTTTATTGAAAGTGAATTGATTGAGAGTTTTATCTGCATTAACCTCAACTGTAATGATTTTGTAATCTTTAGTCTGAAAGTGTTCGTTGCCCCCACTTTGATTTGATTATTGTTTTTCCATGTCTATATTAGCTTTTATTGGTGCTACAGATAAACCTTGCCACTATCTATTGATAAGCATGCACAATTAAGTTGGACTATTTGCTTTTTTTTTTCTTTCTTCTTAATTATGTTATAGTATTAAATATTTTTACTAGTTTTGTCGATATTATCTACTTTTTTTTGTATTTTTTTTAGTGCATACTAGGTTTTAAATCAGTAAAGGTGAAAGTAATTTCAATGAGTATATACACAACTGCGAGTCAATACTAAATTGCTATTCCTACTATTTCATTAACCTTTTTATTATAATTATGGTCTCCTTTGGATTGACTTATTTATTTCTAAGGAGAAAAAAAATAGTAAAATGAATTAAAACTTTTTTATAAGTCAAATTAAATAATGTATTTCAATTTATATAAAATTTCTCAAAAAGTTGTGTATAAGTTGATTTTGATTTTTGGAAAATGCTTAATTTATTTTTCCTTATTTTTCTTTCTTCTTATGAATACTAAATGAAAAGCTTATCTAAACAAAACTTGTAATTCAAATTCCATTCAGTATTGTATGCGATACTAACAATTGAGTCTTATTTTTTTAAAAATAATATCTGAAGTATTTGTTTGTTTTTTTTTTCTTTCCATTTTGTAACATAAGTTTTGAGCTTTCATACAAAATGAAATTAATATATATTTTTTTAATTAGGCATTTGATTTAAATACTTTATTTTTGTTAATTTTTAATTAATACAATTCGAATTAGAGATAATGGGAAAATTATAAAGCTCAAGCCCAATATGATTACTATGGTTGGTCAGAACTTTTTTTTTCTTTTTAAATATTTAATGTAACGATATTCTTATAACTTAAATTTGAGAGGACTCATCTTACTCTTTAATTACACAAAATATTTTTACAATAATAAAATAATTTATTGTCTTACATAACATATATATGTTTTTATTTTAAAATTTAACTTTTTTTCTTCTTTTTCTTTTCTCTCAATTTAAACAACTTAAAACAAATCTATTGTTATATTTATTTATTTATCTCTTTTCTTATATCTTTCTTCTTTGAATCCTACTTGTTCCCTCCTCTTATATTCACATAGAGCATTAATGTGTTTGCAGAATTAATGCCAATATAGAATAAAATATGAACATGTTTGGTTACCGTTTCTTCTTGTTCTAATCAAGTGTGTGGCTGAAGCAAGGTTTTTATTTTATTTTATTTTATTTTTATTTTTTTTTCTAACTAGACTTGGTAACTGTCCACGGTAAACATATTTTTATTTTTTATTATAATTACATTAACATTCTTTCTACTTCACATTCACGTTTTTTTTTATAGATAATATGCAGAAAAATATTATTATTTTATATTTGTGTGTTATTACTCATTTTATTTTGATATCTCAATTATATTTTTTTATTCTTTTTCCATTTATTATATTTTCTTTATAACTTAAAAGTGATTATAACATTATTGAACGACTTTTATAAAATTTTATGTTTAAGATCTATTTTTTTTAGATGATTAATAAAAATTAATATTTTTATTCTCTATAAACACAAATTAAAGTTTAAATTTTATAAATTTAATTTAAATAAAGTTTAACACTTTTAAAATAAGATTATTTTAATTTTAATTATTTCAATTTTAACTATTTCATTTTAATCATCTTAATTTTATTTATTTTTATTTTAGTCCTTCTAAATTTTAGTTGTTTTCATTTTAATCATTTTTTTATTTTGATCCTTATAATATTTACTTTTTCTATTTTGGTCCTTATATTTTTTGTTTTTACTTTTTTTCATTAGATTTACGTCAATCTAACATAAACAATGATAATAATAAATAAAAAATTGCAGAGAAAAACAGAAAATACTTTACAAAGGTTAAAAAGTTATTTAAGCTATTTTTATTATGATTTATTATTATCAGTTTTATTCAACAAAATATATACTTATGTAGTTGTTTGGCAGAGAGATTTGGCTTGGTTCTACATTAAAGGATCAGGGTATAGGTGAGTGCAAGGCATGAAGCTGCTTATCAATGATCAAGAGTGTTGGTTTGTATCCCTTAAACAAGTTGTTTAAGATTTGAATATTGACTTTGAATATGGAGTAGATAGTGTTGAGAATAGAATATTCATTTTTTGTGCTTTACGATCTTTGTAACACCTCAATTTTCATAAATTATATGAAGGTATTTTAGAAACTATTTTGATACTTAAATGTATTTTATAAATATTGTAGACACCTAATTTCGTCCAGGGCATACAAACAAAGAAATGGACTTCTATTATCAAAGAAAGGAGCTCCCAAAGCCTGGGAAAACATGATATGACATCAGAAGGCTCAAAGTCCAATAAGGGTGATTTAGTAGCCTAGAACGGGTCGTTCCAAACTACTAAAAAGACCTATAAACCCTAGATTGGAACGGGTCGTTCCAACACAAGCTGTTATGAGTAAAATTCGAATCTAGAATGGGCCGTTCCAGATTCACATTTTACCCATAACGGAATTGCCTAGAACGGGTTGTTCCGAATCCGGAACGGACCGTTCTGGTCAGTTCTGACGTCTATAAATAGGTACGTCAAATACTGCTCTCAAGGGCCAGAAAATTCATCAAGAACTCCTTATAGCTCGAAATTTCTCTCTCTCTCTGTTTGTATTTCTTGATATCTGTGAGATATTTGTGTAGTGTGAAAGGTTGCCATAAAGCACCTAAAATCTCCATAGTTGAAGATCTAATAAAGCTTGCTACGAGTTATCAGGAGTTAGGAAGTTACCTGAGGCTACCAAAAGCATTTCACGCTTCTGACTTCATTTTCCTTTCTACGCTCTCTAAAGACCCAAGGATAACTAACAGAAGGAGACCAACAAGATTCTGCTCTAGCTTCATCTTTTGCTTATCAAGTTAAGGGGGGAGTGAGAAACCTCGCTCGGGGGTGTGGGAATAATTGTTGGGTAGCAAGATTGGCCCCCAATCCCTTGCTTGACAAGAACAGACACTTTATGAAAGTTTTCTGTTTCGCTTTCTGATTGTTCTGTTGTGTTCCTTGATGATTACTGAGCATGAATATATGTTTAATTTTGAGTTTGAATATGTTTTGATATGAATTAGAGTGATCTATGGGTTCCTACGGGAAACCCGTGAGAAACGGGCAAAATTTGAATATTTTTTGTTTTGCCTTCTAAGTTTTCTGTTGTGCTCCTTGATGATTACTGATCATGAATATATGTTTAATTTTGAGTTTGGATATGTTTTTGATATGAATTAGAGTGCTCTATGGAGATTATGTGAATATGATGAGACAATGTCAAAAGTGAATATGAGATATGAAATATGATGATATGTGACAATGAGACATGATATATGAGTAACTATGACAAGTGAAATGATGAGTCCATGAGTTTGTGAATGTGTGACATGCATCATATGCATTTATGTGACGGGGTACGATATGGAGTACACCGTTAAGGAAGGCCCTCCAAGTGTGAAACATCTTAGAGCAGTCTTAGGGGATAGTGCAGTTTGGAAGGCCTAGTTCTGCCCATTTGTGTGCATAAGACGTATCTTGCACGACTTCACTATCTCGACGAGACCCTAGCAGTACATCCTTCTAGTTGAGAGTGCACGGTTGAGCCGGAATGTACTTCTAGACTACTCCAGGTATGTTGCTTCGACAACATACCACGTGATATGTGATTGTGAGACACGTGGCTGGTGCCACATGCATGCATTTATGAGTCGAGTCCATGAAATCATTGTATGATAAATGAGTGTATATGTGATACCAATTGTCTATATGTGTTTTCTATATGTGATTGATGCTTGTGACTTGTATATTTGTTGTGTGTGTGCTGTCTAACTGTTATTTTTACACCTGAAACTGAGTGAGATGTTTCTTACTCCCCTGTTTTCTCTATGTGTATTTTTATTATGTTGTAGGTGATCATCAGTATGAGAATGTTGGTGATGAGACTTAGGATTCAATTGGGAGTGCTCTGATAGGATATGACATCGGGGCATAGTTAGGACTAGTTTAGGACTTTAGTTTCTTTCTTGTTTGGAAAACCTTTAACTTTATTTCTTTTGTAATTTCCGCAAGTGAACTATGATTATGTATTTGAATGTGAATCCTTTACCTATTTGCTAATTGAGAAAGTTTTATTCATTCAAATTTTATCTTACAATTATTTTGTATTATGTCGGGGTAGAGGGTGTCACATTTAGTGGTATTAGAGCTAGGTTGATTCAAACCGGACATGTGTGTTATGTGCTTATCATGATTCTATTGTGTACTCTGACAATGTTTTGCTTGTTGTCTACTTTGATGATTCTTTGCTTTGTGATGATAATGATGATGATGATGTTCTCTTTGTGTTGTTGTTGTTGTTGTGTTTAATTAGGTGTTTCTCTTCTTAGAATAGGGCTGATTGACATGATATAGCTTAACTGATCCTATTATATTTATTTTCTTCATTCTCATGATTGCTTATTTATTTTGATACTTCTTTCTTACGTAAGAAGTAGTGGTTGGGTGGTATCGCTCGCGTTGCGAGCATATGTGTAAGTAGTAGTGGACGAAGCACCGTGTTAATCAACTAGAACTATTGGAGTATTGGATGTGGTTGAAACATATTAATCTGTTGAGTGTATTAAAATTTTATTGTCAATGGAATTTTTGAAACCTATAGTTATAGAGATTGAATCCAAAGAGGTTATATGTTGAGAATTGGAGTTTTGAGTGTTCTTGATGAAAGACCGAGATGTTGGTGATTTCTTTGAGTTTTGATGCTTGAATGCTAACCTTTTTATGAGTTAGGTTGCATGAGGATTTTTGATGGAGGACCATCCTTGGAGCTTCATATGGGACCCATCACTAGGTCCATGGCTAGGAGATTGGAAGAAGATAGGGGAACTAACACCCTAGAGACATGCTTCTCATGGCTAAAGTATACTAATCATTCTCCTAAACCTTGTTAGTATGGAATTTATT